TTCACCACAACGGTCCAATACAGCGACCACATCACTGCCGATGCTGCACCGGTCTGATTGACAATAGAAACAGCTGTAATTGAAAGAATGCAAGATAGATATGTCCAATGCCATACTGTGGAACCATAGGCTATATATATGACTGGACACGGTTAACCCACTAGCCGCCGCGTTCCAAATAGGAAGTGAGCATGGGGGGCGCTTCTGGCTCCATTGACTCTGGCTCCAATTGATCTATACATAAATGGAACTGCCTACATTTCAACTGCCTACACTACAATTCAGCCTTGTAACTGCTAATCTCCAGAGCTTCATTTGACTGGAGTCGACACTATGCGTGATGTCACACTCCCTTAGTCCACTTCTTTATACAGCCTATGCACGGAACATTCAAGGCAAAGAAATAACACACTTATGAGCAGAGCAGGTGGCGGACCCTTCACCAGAAAAGTGAATCTTTAATACACTCTTTACACAAATGTCTCACCATAGTTGGGACTATTACTGAGAGGAGATATTGAAAATGAGGCCAGAGAGATTATGCAGATGCTTCTGTTAAATGTCACTGTGACACCCTTGTGACCTTGCTTAAGTGTGCAGGATTCTTACCTGGACCTCATCTGCGGTTGGCCTTAATCACAGCAGAATATCACACCACTGCTTTTCCACGGAGGATTGGAAGGAACAAATTGGACCATAGGAGGTTGGTTCTGATAGTATGGAGTATAAGGAGGCGTTCATGACTGACCTATATTTTCCCTCCTTTACATTTGAATTTTTTCTGTATGTAGGGCAGAAGTGAATAGAGCAGCCAGTTTTGCAATAACTATAAAATGTCCAATTATTGCATTGAATAATTCAGTAATTCAGACAAAACCAAGACCTGGAGATGGGTCCTTGGGCAAGCATTTAAAATGGGTCAAATGCAGATGACACATTTCCTTATGGCATTTAATTTCAATTTAATTTTGGGAAAACTGCTTCCCAGAAAGTAACTGTCTGAACATAAAGTCCAAGATATAATTTGAATGAATTAATAAATTAATGAAAGATAATAATTGAGCTCTTGTGTCTTTATGGAAGGTCAGAAAATTACATGAACTGTGCAACTTTTCAGGTAGAGTTTCCACCCTCTAATTGTCTCCATGGAGATTTTCCTGCATTGCCTAGAATGTTCCACAGTGTGTCGTAATCTATCTTACATTTCTCATTGTCAGCATAGTTGCCTCTCCACAGATCTGACATGTAACTTGGTCTTGTAGAATTACTTGGTTGTTTCTTTGGAAGTGTATATGTTTCATGCCGTGCTGTAGAAAATCCCAAGCAAAGCAAAAACATCTCCATGGAAACAAGGGTTGACAGAAAAGTTAGGCAGTGCACCTTTAAACAATACACAAAATCTGGTACTAAATATATTTTAAAAAATCATATCTGAAGGAGCGGAACAAAAACATCAAGTAATTTAATATTGTCAACATAAAGCTTTTTGTAACTACAGAGTAAGATATAAATATATCTGACATAGCTAAAATAACTAATATTACTAGACTCCGGTTTAGAAATGTTACAAAAAGTTATTTTCTTGATTCAAAGCTTACTTTGTGGATTCCTGTGGTGTAAAGTTTAGTATTGAGTCACTTATATTGAAGACCTCTTGTGTCTTTCTTGTGACTGACAGAACATAAAGCAAACGTGACAAGTGACTAATGCATTTTCAAAGGTCAAAAACGGCACGTTTTCTTTCACTCAAGGGCTCATCTGCACTTTAAGACATAAGCACATTTGTCAAGATGAATTAATTTCTTTATGGAGCCTTAAATACCTTTCATATTTTTTAATTACCCCTTTAAAATGTGACATTTCAGGTGATTTCTCCTAAAAAGTGCAATATTATGTGTTTGACTTTTTCAGTTAAATTCCACTCAATACCAAGGCAAGTATCATCAATATGAATAGGTTGTGTTCACGCTCTATAATTTGATTATATCATAATTTTAGAAGGAAGGATAGATGGGGAATATTTAGCTCTATGGGAAGAAATATCCAAACTTATTATCCACAAATGTTAAACCTTCATATTATTTTTTAGAGATTTGCTCCACAAACTTGTCTTACAAATCATTAGTTGAATAAGCCACCATTTTCTGAAAAAAAAAAAAAAAAAAAGACACTGAATTTTGTGCCAGTTATTGTTTCATGTGGATAGGCCCAGCAATTATAAAAATACTGACCATAAGCCAGGTCAACAAATCTGCAATCTGATAAAAGACACCCATTTCTCCTACTGAATCTGACCTGCCCTCCAGCTCAGTTTTAAACTATTCATGAGTTTCAGCTTCCAGTTATATTTTCATCATTCTGAAACCCATAGAGATTGTGGAATAGTAACTTGAAACTGTAGTCGGTTTCCTCCTAAGGCAGTGAGAATCATGCAGCCAACCACACAATACTTAGGAATATCCCAAAGTGAGCGGGATAGCTGAGAGAGGATTAATGAGGGATAGTCGGGCTTTGATAATGCTGATGTATTGAGCCGGCGTGTGCTCCCTTAAAGCCTTTTGTTTAGACCTTATTGCACGTCACCATCTGTTATGATCCGGTTGCCAGATTGCCCTGAGCACCACATCAATCCCCCCTTTGGGCTTCGCATCTGCAGAAGTCAAATGCAGCTCTTCCTGACTCCGCTGCTCACCGAGTCCACAGCCAATGTCACTAACTACATTAATACGTATGCCAGAATAAGCTGATAACTGGGCTAGTCCCATTTAACTCAACTCAGAGACTACAATTGAGGTTTCATCGTTAGAATCTCCAAGAGACCAGATATATCTGGAGAAGTCCATGTGTATTTGAAGTATCTAGGAGCAGGCTAGGAGAGGCATTCAAATGCACTTGGTAAGAAACAGCCCAACAAATATTAGGCATGTGTTTGGACACATACTCACTTATGCCTCTTTTCCATTGGCACTGTTCACTGGGGACTGCCTTGCAGTGGGTCAGTTTGGTGCAGCTCTCTCCAGTCGACTTGTATTTCTAATGCTCTGTGCACGGCTGCAGATCCTGGAGCCGGACTCTGCTACATGAACAACTGGTGTCAACAAAACATTACAAATGTCTTCTTAATAAATAAAATCTAAATTGCTTTATTTCGCAAAGCATATCGGCTCAACATATCAGCTTGCATTCGAACATCTCATACTGCCCAGCATAGACCAAACTCTCTCTCTGCTGCTACTTGGCTCTGATAACAGCAGTGAAAGTGTCCTGAAAGTGTACTGTTTGTGTACCGCTGCTCTGCAGGAACATTTTCTGCATTTTCTCAAGTCTTTGTAGTTGCCTCTGTTTCAGAAAGCAGTGTCTTCTGTTGCTGTTGGCGCATATTCATGAACAGAAGCATGATGTGCATAAACTCTGTTGCTGCTCATTGTGTTGTTGTGGCGCTGTCAAGTGCTCTTTTGACAGTTCCAGTACCTTGTGGCGGCACAGGTCTATGTCACGCCATTGGGTGTCTTACTAGACCTGTGTCATGCCCAAAGCAGCCTGGACCCATTATAATGGTCACACTCTAAGGGTCAGGTGCCCCCCAACTGGCCCACGTCAAGGTGACCTCAAGCTAAATTATACATGTGCCTGAACCTCTCATGACCTCCTTGTCACACCTATTCAGTTCTTTGACCTGCTGTAAACTGGGATCAGAAGACAAGTGATCTAACAGGTTTTGCCGCAAAGACTATTTGAATTTGATTATTTAGCTCAGTCTGAGTTCTGTGCATGTAATCGTAGTGCTTGATGATTGGTAGTGACTGCTGTGTCACCCAGAGGGGCCCTCGTTGTCATGTTGGACCCTCTTCACTCATCATTGAAGGCAGTGTCCTGTCCTTGCCTCGGTGCTTGTCCCAAACAGACGTCACACATGGAGATGAGGGGGTCCCAGAAGCGGCCAGCCCTGACACTCAAATGTGCACCGTGCTTTGATGTAGCTCTGGTGCCCTTTTTGAATATGATTGTTCCACACAAGCACATCCTAGAGCACTCTATGAACTCTTTACCTGAACTACCATGTCTGAATTTTAACAGTTGCATGAGCTGTTTGGTTATTGTATTGTAATTTATTTTACAGTTTGTATTGCTTATATGAGGACTATTGGAGTTAAATAGAACTGATATATGGCTACAGAGAGTTACGGTGATAAATGATAATACTGACACTACTTTAATAGGGATGTATCGATACTGGTATTGGATATCTGCGCTGATGATGAAGAATTTGCTGGATCGGGTATCAATTCCATGATATCGGTTCAGTCGAGATCGTGGTTGGGCCTTTATTTGGGTGTAATAAGACTATTCACAGGCAAATTTTGGCCTGGAACCTCTCATACAGTATTGCTTCAACTTTTGTTCATACAAAACTGTTCACTAGTTATTGGATGGATAAATTACAGCTACATAACACTTTTAGATTTCATGTATCATAAGTTCACTGTGTTTTAAGGAAATAAGTGTTTTCCATCCCCACACTGGGATCGGTTAATATCAGGTACTAGCAGATACTTAAAGTCAAGATATCGGTATCGGAACTGAAAAAGATGGATTGGTTCATCCCTATACTTCACTGACACAGTAGCTATAATGCAAGATAATCCCAGTAAATTTATTTTTAAATAGACAAAGCCAAAAAAATTGCAGAATGAACCAATAATTAGCCACAGAAATGATTTATTCTACCCTCTCGAGCTCAGATACTTCTTCATTACATAAGAAATTGCAAAAATCTCTCCACTATTGAAAAGAAATTGCATACATGATAAATCTTCGGCCCCAAAATATATTCTTCTGGCTTTTATATACTGAACAATAAGTCAGTATGGTAATTAACGTGACTGGTCTAAACTCTACTGTGTCTCTTAGTGCTTTTCCTCCACTTGCTTTATTATATTCCTCTCCCTTACCTCAGCGTGTCCCACTCTCTGACTCCATGTCCTTGTCTTTCTCTCCAGGAAGGGCCAGTCTGCACGGGAAGTCCTCCCTGCGGATAGAGAGTGTGCGTTCAGACGACCAGGGCTGGTACGAGTGTAAGGTGCTCATGTTGGAACAGCAGTACGACACCTTCCACAACGGCAGCTGGGTGCATCTCACTGTCAACGGTAAGAGACTACACTTAGACAAACTTTAGTGATCCACAAGGGAAATTATTTGGACACAGTAGCTCACACATCACAATAAATATAATAACAAAGATGCTTTTCTCTTGGAATGTTTCACAGTTTGATATTAAACTTTTCTATCTTCATGAAGACCAAACCAGACCAAGTTACAGGTCAGATCTTTGGAGAGGCAACCCTGCGCATAGTCAGAATGCCTGTTTTTCTAGGAGTTTTTTTTTTTTTGAGCTGTAAAACCACCTGCAATTGAATAAATGTACGGCTATTTCAGGCAGAGCAATGACATATCCATAGAAACAAGCAGGTGACAGATCCCCAGCGGAAAAGATTGACCAAGGTTAATTTTTTTCATGTCCAGTGCCAGTACTGACTCCAGAGAAACCAATGGCCGATCTGCTGATATTTTCAGGCCAATATTTAGGGCTGATTTTGATTATTTTCCCAAAATTCTATAATCTGAATTTACTACAAACTCATCCACAGCTCTATTTTACAATAAACTTGATATGAGGGCAGTGAAGTCCCATTTTGTGCAGTTTACACAAGTGCTCAAATAAATTATTCATAATTTTAGGGATCTGGTTGGCCCTCTTCTGGAAATTTAAGGCCGATAGCAGATATGCTTAAAAAACTGCAAATATTGGCCATCTGATATATCGGTCTATCTCTAGTTTAAGTATCTGCGCCTCTTTGTTCAGGAAAATGACCTTTTCAGTAATAAAGTGTGTTGTAAAATCAGCAGTTTGGAAACGTATAGTAAAAGTAAAAGTATAGACACAGTACATCACCTGCCTTATGCAATTTAATAGGCATTTTTATGGGTAAGAACCATAAAGTAAGATCCAGGTGTGATCCAGTCAGGCATGTCGCATGAGAACCATTTGCACCTCGACAATTATACAGTAGTGCTGTGCATTACTGTTTTTGAGTGATTGTAGCATGGCCATTCTGCACTCTTACAACTGTCATGCCCATTTCTCTGATTGGTTATGCCATCTGTCAATCATTTGTCCATCAATATTTCATCCTATCCTCCTTGTGGTCACAGCACATTAGTTGTGTTTCATCAGAGCCGCTCTCCTCTGTGACTTCTCCCTGTGAAGTAGTGGTGTCATGATACTAAAATTTAAAAACTTGATTTCAATACTAAGAAATAGACTCAAAACAGATTTCAGTATTACAATGATTATTAAAACACTTTTTATTTATTGGGACAATATATGTGACTTTTTTAGTATTGATACTAGTTTTGATACTAGTTTTAGTATCAGTTAATATTTGACTTTTAAAACTGATTAAAATCCCTGACGTGTTCCAGACTCAGACCACAGCACCTGCCTCTAGTTTCTCTGCTTTAGGCCTGGTTTCGACTGAAGCCTCTGGACAGGAAGCAGTGTAGTACAGGACACAGCTAACTGCTCTGCTGCTCCTGCAAACCTCTGTCATGTTACTCATTGGTATCTAAACGTTTTTCATCAAGTTCCACATATGAAGACACAGACAAAGCAAAGCCTCAATTAAATGTCATATACAGGTGGACATCACATTGAATAATCCATATCGTTGCATTTAGGACAGGTTACACTGAAACACCACTAGACTGTTATTCAGGCTTTGATTCTCAATAGGACTAGGGATACACACATCCAGCTTTTTCAGTTTCAATATGGATTCCAATACTATGGATTTATGAATCTGTTGAAACTCGATATTAACTGATTCCAATGCAGGGTTTGAAAACAGCATTTATTTTATGAAAATAAAATAAGACACAGCTGATCCAAATGTGTTTATTTATTGCTCAAGTAACTACAGAACAGCTTTGTATAAGTAGAAATTCAATCACTATGAGCCATATACGACCAGTAAATAGTCTTCCTACATCAATGTCCATCCAGGATATTGGCTGAACAAATATTTAGAAGCCAGCAAATTTTTCAGTATCAGTGCCAATACCATTATTGGATGGATGCATCCCTAAAAAGGACACACTGTCTACTAGTATTGGCTTTATCAAGGTAGACTTGACTAGACTCAAAAGCTTGTTGTAAAAAGTAATGCTCATGATAATTTAGGCCAATTCACCTGAAAGCAGTGGGGTCCAGAGAAAATGGTCTGAGTGCCGCATTTCATAGTTTGGACATGCCTTTTTAAATTTTTTATCAAGTACTGATATCATTTGCAGTTATACAAGTTACAGTTTGATTACATTTTACCCCTTTTTACCTATTTTCCCCAAAACACTTTTTAATTAAACAGAACCTCTGCCTTTGCACAGTTTGGACATGTCTTATATAAAGTTTTGACTTGACAACTGTGTCCACTCCCATGTCCTCTAAAAAAAACTAGGTTTTTTTTGGTGCCTAACTGATGAACTGTGCTACAGGTCACTACAATATTGTAAGTAATGTTTGCAGATAATACTCAGAGAATAGGGCAGATTGAAATGTTCAGACTGGGGCCTGCCAATGTAATTAGGATGTGATCTGAGACAGTCATTTCATCATGAGATTCATCAAGAACTAAAGGTCAGTGAGGATGGAGTTTCCTGCGAGGGCTGCACCATTTGATAAAAGCTGTCAATAACTATATAGCAATAGCTTTACAATTATAATTTTATTTCAGCACAGAGTAAAGTAGAATAAGTTCAGTAAAATGTGGCTTAATGTGTTGCTTAAAGGTCTTTTATTATGTAAAATAGATTCTTGTGAATATTTAGTCATGTTATAATGTTGTTACCTCATCAAAAACATACCTGGAGTTGCCTTTTGTTTCATTCACATGTTAGTCTGTCTCCCCAAAGCTCAAAATGCTCTTTCACCTTGTGATGTCATGTGGTGGTAGTTTACAAGTTAACCTTTACCTTTAGTTTAGTAGAGATTTGCAATTCTGAGGCTGAAATTATCCAAATGTTGCTAGTGAAGGTGTATTGAGTAATACTTCCTGTACTACCAGATGACATCACAAGGTGGAACAAAGTGTTTTCTGTCTTAGAGAAGAACTCAGCCTAAATATGCCGGATATGTGTGTTAAACATATGTGAATGAAAAAATACAACTCCAGGTATGTTTATGATGAGGAAACAACTTTATTAACTACATAAAAAAATAGTGTAATATGGGGCATTTAACTAATGGGAAATAAAGGAAATGTAAATGATTTAATTTCAATCCAATCCAATCCACTTTATTTCTATAGCACATTTCACAAACAGTTTCCAAAGTGCTGCACAAACACATAATAATAACAACAATAATAAAATGATAAAATAAACGCTCAGATTTAATCATACTAATCTTAAAATAATAAAACCAGTAAAAGAAAATAAAAGCAATATCATAGAATGGCAATAAATAAATAAATAAAGCCAATAAAATACATTAAAAATAAATACAAGACAAAGAGGATCACACAACTCATGTGGTGTTAAAAGCCAGAGAGTAAAAGTGGGTCTTAAGACGAGACTTAAAACACTTAACTGTGGGGGCGGTCTAATTTACTAGTCACAGTGACTAAAACAAGAGAAAAACAAGAGAAAATTTAGGACTTGACCAAAATCTGTTCTAACATAATTAAACCTTTTTCATTTTTGGCAACTTAGCATTACCTGTGACATGTATATCTTGCCACATGTATATCGTGATAACCCCCAGCCTACAGACAGTGAAGGATGGCTGCAAAGAAATAATTGTATTCATTTTGGACTTGAGTTATTTTTCTGAGTGAAACTGTGTGGATCAGGGGACCAGAGCTTGCTCGTGTGATCTCTATGAGGTGCACATGGAGAGATACCAGCAGAGCTCACACAGAGACAAGAGACCGAGGCAGCTGTGTGGTCTGAGGCCTGGCTCATGGACCAGAGCTGTACATGTAATATACATGCAGCTCAAGTCAACTATAGAGTTATGTACATGAATAATACAAGCTGTTGATATATTGGTTGCAGAGACCCCTGAGCTTTGTGGCCACCCTTTGCAAATAGACATTAAATTGCAATTCATACATGTACTCGGCTTGTCTGGAATAAACCCAGTCCAGACCACGTCCAGGAACACTGTCAAAAGGCTGTTCACGCATTACCACGACCATGTATGATTCCAACAGGAGCTGAAGTGTGTCAGCTGGGCCTCTAGAGCTATGGAAGATTTCAATATCATACTTGTGCAATGTAATCCTTGTCAAATACAGTATTGTGTATAGAGACCAACCTATATGTTTCTGTTCTTTTTTTGTTTATGACAGATGCTGATTGTTTAGAATCCAGAGCAACCTATGGCCAATAAGCTCTGCCAATATTTTTGGGCCAATATGTGGGAAGGATTTTGATTATTTTCCCCAAATGATGTAACTGAAACTTAACTATAAACGCATCCCACAGCTTTTGTTTTTTACCACAACCCTATAAGAGAGCTGTGTAGTCACATTTTGGGAAGTCATTTTCTTGTAATAAAGTGTTCAAATAAGGCTTTGTGTGTACTCTTCAGGCAGCTGGTCGGCCAAAACAAAATATCGGCCTGTGCTGGAGATTTAAGGCCCATAGCCCATTATGTTGAAAAGTGCAAATATTGGTCTGGCTCCAAGAGCACTAAAGTTGAGCTTTCTTTTTTTCCACAAGGTTTGAAATCTGCAAGATGTAGTCAGTAGGAAACCATAAAATAAAGAACAAGTTTAATGCATGTAATTAAAGAAATGCATAATAAAATGTAAATGTAGAAAGATCTCACGCCATGCTGTGGAACATCAAAGCAACCACATCTCCATGGAGACAAGAAGAAAGCGGAGCCCATCAAAAAAGTGACATAGTGTACCTATTTTTAAAACATGTAGGTGTTGAAAATTTTAAAAAAATACTTGCATATAAAAGTAATTTACCCAGCTAGGCCTGTCAGTAATTACTATATCAGTAATTACTACATCGATTATTTTATCGTTCAAAATATGAAAGCTGAAACAATATTATTTTAGGGTCAGTATTTGTTGTG